TTCAAACATGTAAATCTCGACAGTTTGCGGAAATGTTTGGATGTTGACGACTTTCATATTACTGAGAGGGATGAAATCTGTTACAGACACATGGCGAAATTGTTCTAATATTCATGTTCAATAGTTGAGCTTTCGTCTCGGTGATGCAATCGATGATTACAGATTGAAAAAAAAAAATAGTTTATACGTAGTTTGCTCGCGAAAAAGGAACGATGACGTAAAGTAGCTTGAATACACAATAAAAATAGCTAGTATCCTAAGGGTTTGCATGTATATACAATAGTAACAAAAACAATTGTTACGGATAGTTACGTTACACAAGATAAGCTTTCTTTTATTGGTCTCATACTTGGAATTGTCATTCATATTCAGATTATTTGACGTTCATATAAGTAACACCAACATGGATATCAAGACAACGAAAGAGGGCAGACAACATGTAATTGACAAATCCCGTTTTATTGTTTGTTTCAACAACATGCAATATGCAGAAAACTGGCAATTTGGGCTGAGGTGCCTTATTCTATGTTTGGTATCAAAAAAAGAACTTTGTACGTGCACATGCCCAAATCTTTTGACTATACCCGATAAGGTGAAGATGCGGAGGCAGACTTGGCGACCGATGATTACACATAGTAGCTATATAAATACTCCAAAGACGTTTCGGGCAATACTTATTTCGGTTTCTTGCCTTATTTGTGACTGAAGAAACTTGCCCAATTCGATCCTGATATAAATATCTCGCTTATCATTGTCGCATATGTCAGCGCTGGACGCGATAGCTGACAAAGTTATATCGAAAGCCTTATCATTATAACCTACATAAATCAAAATATTAATTTGTCGTCAATATAATAATTATAATTAGTAAAAAAGAATGTCGGCTGACGAACAAACAAATGTCGATTCTTCGACGGCAACGTTTGTCTCTGCCGTAGTATTCAACGGTGGTATTACTATCGGAGTATATCTTGCCTTTAGTATAATTAGAAGCTGGAACAAGAGAATCTTCGAGCCGAAGACATATCTGGTGGAGGAGAGGTATATTGACTGACAAGTGTAACCGAATCGTAATGTCATTTGATAACTCAACCAACCATCAATTGAAATACTTTTCTCATAAACTCCCATTGCTTTTAATCCTCAGGAAACGATCTCCTCCTCCGGGTCGGTTTTTTGGATGGGTAAAGTCCGTATTAACTGTGAGTCAGCAAGACGTTATAAATCGGGCAGGATTAGAAGCATACCTATTCCTTCGATTCTTTAAAATGTGTACTTCCCTCTTCGTCCTTTTCTCCATTGTGGGTGTTGGTATTCTTGTCCCGCTCAACAAATTCGGCAAAGGAGGTCTGAATGGATTAGATCAATGGTCCATTGGTAACATTGCTGGGGAGACTAAAAAGTTATGGGCTCACTTAGCCGTGGGTTACTTCATCATTAGTAAGTGAACCGACACTCGCACTTTACTTAAAATTGAAGTAACTTATGCTGACCATATTGTCATTTATTAGTTACAACGATCATTGCCATCTTCAGAGAATATAAATCATTCATAAGGCTGCGACATGCATACTACGTTCGACCAGAGCACGCAAAATCTGCTATTGCGACCACTATTCTGGTGGTCGGCATACCTCCTGAATTATATGGCACTGATTCTCTTAAGCAAATGTTCGATGTATTTCCGGGAGGGGTAAAGAAGATATGGTTGAATAGGTAAGAATCTAAGAACGTAGAAATTTGGTCAATGCTGTGAACGTAATAGTAACTCGAACTCCAATATCAGGGACCCCCTAGATATTCCCAAATACATCAAGGAACGAGAGCAATTGGTTAATAAATTAGAGACTTCTGCCCTCTATGTGATAGCCGAATATTATCGTTTACGAAAAGCAGGAAAATTATTCGAAGAAGAGAGTGGAACTATCCCGGAAAAGCTTCGTCCGACACATCGTAAATTTGTTGGCATAGGCAGCAGGGTAGACTCTCTTGAAACATACCGCAAGGAAATTCTGAGGTTGAATACGAAAATTGACAAAATGCAAAAGGAATCCTCTCGCTATCCTCCTATGAATTCGGCATTCATCCAATTTAACACGCAATTGGGCGCCCAGTTGGCTAGCTCGGCGACGATACCGAGATTGAAGGAGATAACGCCAGATAATGTCGTCTGGGACAATTTGAACGTGACCTATTTCCAGAAATTGAGAAAGCGAATTGTTGTAACTATCATTGTTACTGCTCTAGTATTGCTTTGGGCTATTCCTGGTGAGACGAGCGATAGATTTTAATAGGTTAATCTATTTGGTTATGATGGTACTAAAATTCTGTTGCCTATATCTTTTAGTTGCTACCGTCACCACTATTTCCCAACTGGATAGGCTTCAAAAACAATTTCCGTTCTTAGATTTTGTCAATAACCTTCCCAAAGCTGTTATTGGTATAATACAGGGTGTATTGCCCGCAGCTGCATTAGCGGTATTACTGGCACTCGTGCCTATCATCCTGCGATGTAAGTAGACATCATGTTTCTGTCTGACAGTAAATTCACGTCAAGTTAGTTTTTAACCATGAGACAATTACTTTAGTTCTGTCTAAACAAGAGGGTATTGTAACTTATTCTGGTATAACAGCCAGCGTTCAAGCTAAGTACTTCTTCTTCTTGGTAAGTTGATTTCCGTTATCGATTAGAATTGACATTTCTGCAGGCCAATGTCTTGATCCTAACTTTGAATTATACTAACCTCAGATCGCATCTTCTTTTAAGGTTGTGAATGTTCTACTTGTCACTACTTTTTCCAGCGGTGTTTCATCTGCGTTGCCGGCTCTTATAAAGAATCCGACGTCAGCCATTGACATTCTTGGAAAGCAGCTACCATTGGCCTCTGCATTCTTTATCTCGTATGTGCTTCTTTCACTGTCCGGAGCTGCTCTCAGAGTCACTCAATTGGGTACTTTGGTTGTTTATTGGATCTTTCGTAAATTCCTGGCAAAGACTCCTCGACGGATCTATGAAGTCGAGACAACACTGGGATCTATGGACTGGGGTACTGCATTCCCGCCGCACGTTCTTATTGCATGTATTGGGTTCGTCTATTCAACAGTCGCGCCCATTATTCTCCCAATAGTGGCTCTACACTTCTTTTTGCATTACATCTCTTATTCCTATCTCTTCCTTTATGTGCTTGATCAGCCAGAACAGGCAACTGGAGAAGCTTATTCTACAGCAATATATGAACTGTTCACAGGGATGATTATCTATGAGCTCACCATGGGCGGTTTGCTGTTTCTCAAACAAGCGTTTATTCAAGGCGCATTGATGATATTTCTAGCAATCTGCACGGTTGGCATACTGTTAGTCATGAAATCTTTCTTTAAGCATAATCCATCTGTCGAATTCCTGCCAGCTGATCTCGCTGGCCTCGTCGACACTAAACGAAACAAGGTTCTTGTTGAAGCCGTTCAAAATGAGCATATTGAGGAATATGTTGAGGGTCATACGGAGCATATTGATGATGATGCATATACTCACCCTGCCTTTGCTGCGAGCCAGCCAATAATCTGGTTACCGCAAGATAAAGTGGGTATTGCTCAGATAGAGGCTAATGAATGTCAAAAAGATGGACTGCCAGTTTCCACCGAAGGAGCAGTTTTCGACGAGTCCGGTCGTGTGGTTGTTGAGAAAGGACCTCCTGAGGCAAGACCTTATACGTATGTTTGAGATAGACGGGCTACGTTGTTGTAAATGCATTATATATGCTTTGTGCTATTATAATTACTGCCATTGCTATATTTTATACATATTTAATCTTTACTTTACTGAGAGGGTGTTATAATGTAAATGTATAATGTTACGATATAAAAATTCTCCATATTGGAGATGATTTCAAAATATGTCCATTGTTCACATGCCAGAGTTTGACGTTGTGTAATTAATATCTGATAATGGTTTGTTTTGCTAATATTATGACGTGATAATACCACCTCTAGCTGTAAATCTTCTGCCACTTTCTTGCTTTCGCTTACCGAAATTCATTAGTCGAGTTTTTGTAAAGAAAGGCTTTGTCATTATAATGATCTGTATATGAGGGATAATGAATATAATGGCTCTACCGAATATGAAAAGGCTAGCAACTAAACCGATTCCGAGAGAAAATTTGTGAGCTCTTTCTAAACCTGAGCAAGATATTAATATGTTTTTGATGGCACAGTTAAAAGCAATGGCAGACGTCTTAAAAGAAAACGCTTACTAACTAGACAACGTCTGAAGATATCAGAAGTCACCTGGCAAAGATGTTGCAATGTCGATCACGCTAGATGTTACACTAATTCCGTTTTATTTGCTATTACTATTACTATTAATATTAACATACTAATACTATCGCCCTCTATTACTATGACACAATCTGTGAGTGTTATGTCTTTACACAGCGATGCCGAGGAGACTCACTTCTTAAACGAACAAAACTTGCATACCGTCTTACCTGGATTGAATAGAAAGAATGTTCCTTCACATAAATATCTTGGACTTGGTGTGCTTGGTATATGTGTGGCTTCCTTTGTTGCTCAGACGGTTAGTATTGATGATATATGACACTAGATGTATGTTCATACTCGTGAACAGATTCAAGCCTTCTAGTATTTTGTTGCCTTCAACTTTGTAAATTACAGGAAATAACACAGTTTGTTCAGAAAGACATGGAATATCATAAACCGTATTTTATATTGTAAGCTTTTCCTTTCTAACGAACTCATATATAATCAGTCGAGACAATTTTGACAATTATTAATCTGATCCCACATGGTAGGTGGATATCTCACAGCTGCTATACATTTATTATTCCTCTTCAAATTGCAATCAGCTCGAATCCACGGAACTACATCAAAGAGTTATTCATGGTTGGATCACAACTTGTTACTTCGTTTGGCAAACAATCTCGCACTCTTCTTACAGACGACGAAGATGAAACCGAGTGTCAGATTGATGCAACAGCATATGACATGATCCTTTCTGAACGATATCGCTATGTCGTTGTTCATCTATTCAAACTGGCGGCATTTTTCGCTACTAGTCTTTGTGTGCCCGCTTATATCTGGTATATTGCAGTTAATCTGATCGCAATGGCCAATTTAACCGCGATATACAACACGAGCTGTTTCTTCGCTTATATTTTTTCGATATTGTTATTAGGAGAATCACTTAAGTTAGAGAAGGTGATCGCAGTGGCTTTGAGTGTTATAGGGATAGTTATAATGTCAAACCAAAAGAATGCACCTAAGGAAGACCATGTCCCAATGGATTACGGCTATGAATTCGTAGCAGGCAATGTGATTGCTTGTATCGGTGCATCGTTTTACGGATTGTACGAAGTTCTTTACAAGAAATACGCGTCACCTTCAACTCCATCCGGTCTATTTGCGAACACGTTAACCGGACTGATGGGAGTTTTTACGTTCTTAGTTCTTTGGATTCCGATTCCCATATTGCATATAACCGGCGTAGAACCATTTGCACTTCCATCCGCAAGGACATTTGGGTACATTCTATTAAACGCATCAGCAGGCGTTTTTTTCAATGCAAGCTTTATGTTTTCTATTGCCTTGACCAGTCCGGTAAGGACATGAAGCTTTTGACTGCATTAAACATATTATGGTATTATATTTATCCTCTCACGTCCTAATAAAAATTTGCCTACGAACAGCTCTTTGCCTCCATAGGTATTATGGTGACGATACCAATCGTGACATTGGTTTGTATTATGAATTATGCTTGGCAATATTCTATTCTTGTAAATTCAAACTCATTCTACAAATGATTTTAGGTGGACATGCTAGTCACACAGACATCCGTAGCGTTAAGCACTGTAGTCGGTAGTCTATGCATTCTGACGGCTTTTGGTTTGTTGATATGGGACGATTTCACACGTGACCGGGAAAAGCAGAGCAGCCAAGAAGAAGACATCGGCTAATTTATTGGATCAGTAACTTATTCGTTGTGAAGTTTAAATTAAGGTGTGGATATACACAACGATACAGACCCAACAACAAAGTTTCCTTCTGTCTATAGTTCTCGTTTAAAGCACAAATCATTTATCGTTAATGCAAACCGTCTAACCTCCATGTTTGTACTTTAGTCAGAGCTCTCTGTCCGGTCATGAATGCCACTAAACTTGAGGCAGCCAACCAGGGCAATGTCTGGAGTAAGTTAAAACTAGTCCAGTAACCGAATAGGAGACTTTCCATTGCCAGTAACGATGACAAGAACGCTATTATTGTGAGTGATTCGGTTGGCTTGCTGACTAGAAGAGATAAATTAACCTTAATATATCTCCACTAATAGAAACAGATTTAGAAAATATTATAAAATGTAATTAGTATATGTAATCCATAACGAAAGAGATAGTAAAGTCAAGACCAGTTGATTTTATCAAATTACCCCTCCAAGTAATATTATCCATGGTGTCAAGACAATGATTGAGAATGTGTATGATATCCATAGTGCAGGCGATCGTTCACCATCACGAAATACGTGATGTATTTCCGGTCGCGGACCAAAGACAATTGGAGCTTTTGGTGGTAATTTGATTGTTCCTTCGATGCTTAAAGTACCAAGACGGTATCTGAGCGGGTTGCTATGTGAAGTTGTCCCCAGAATAATTTCCATCGAATAATTGCCCGAGTGTGATGTAAGATCATCTGGTGCAGCTTTCATATCCTATGTAACAGAATGTAATAATAAGATATATAGAAACCAGGACAATGGTTCATTACAATCACTCGATCTACTAACCAGTTCTACCCTTGCTTTCCCCTTTCCTCGTACTTTGATAACTAGCACGTATTGCTCTCTTGTCTTGTCATCCGTCAAGGTCAACAAGGCTTGGTGCGGGAGAAAGTCTTTGTCACTATCTTTGTCTTGTATATTCAACGAAAGTTTGAGGGTATCATCCGGAGAGAGAATGAGAGGCGAAGATAATGTTTCGGGATAGGCAAGACTGAGATCAAAACGAGTGTAACAAGCCAAACCACATTATTAGGATCGCACGTGAATTCATAAAGACGGGCAATGTTTTCTACAACATATCCGAGTTTACCTCTTGGATATTTGCGCTTCTCTTTCAGGAGTTATTACAGTTAATTTTATGTTTTGGATTGAAATAGAACCACCTGCACAAGTACTTGCGAATAATATCAGCGCAACCAACAGATATTTCAAGTAATGAAACAGAAAACACGCTCGCGTCATGTCTTTTTGTTGCGGAAAGAGAAAATACCCCCATCTTCAAATAGTTGGTTAACACGTTTTAAATAGAATCAATGTTGCACGTGATAAAACTAAATTTCGATGCTTTTCTTATTTCGCTGCACCATTCCGTCGAGAGTGCAGATCGCAGAATGACAGGTCCTTTACATGTCTATGACATCCTGTTATCGCTCGTCGTAGTATTTAATTTCTTATGTTCCAATAATAAGGCTTTAGCCTCTTCGCCTGATTGGATCAGTGAAGATCCCCTTGGTCATCCACAATATGGACTGTCGTTGCTAACGGAACTTATGGCTAATAGCACAACTGCAGAGTTAATAGCGGGAACAGATAGGAAGTTTGTAGGTAATACCTTTGGTAATGATAGCAATCAACTTCTTTTATTTCATGTTCTAAACCACCATACTACAGGAAGACATCGAGTCTGGTGAAATAGTTAGCATGGTGTCCGCTAACTCACAGATATCAATCTCGCGAGATGACTCGCCAAGTCAGGAATCGAATTATATAACTATGCGCACTGCCAAAGGGCAGCTTTATCTGTGTCATATTCCGTCAGTCTCGAGCAATACAGAGCTCGATAACGATATAAATGAAGAAGAGGAAGATGAGAGTGATATACTGAAAAGGGGTCTTGCACTTCTTGAGCCAATGAAGGGAAATTGTCTGTCTTTTGTGAGTTGCTCATTATTGTGCTTGTTGAGTCAAATACTACCGTTGAATCGTAGGTATCTAACATCTTGATCATGCTCATTTGGTCTGGTTAGCCTCTAGATTGGTTTACTTATAAGTATTGCCATCTCGAGTAAGTATGCCAGTTCTTGTTACCTATCCGAAATACAACAGACTAATATCAGGTTTCCGTGGAAAGGCATGCCGTTCAATATCACAGAAACCAAGGGAACATGGCACAAGAAATCTATTACCTTGGAAAGTACGATTCAAGCGGAACAGCCTTACCTTCATCAGATGATCATTTAGAAGAGAATAGCCAGAGTATTCAGGGAGCAAGTTTGAGGAGAATCCACGGGAGAAGGCAAATAGTTCAAAGATTAGGTGGTGGAACTATCTGTGATAAAACAAAAAAGCCCCGACAGGTTAAAATAGAGGTATTATGCGTACTACTTTATGCTTTGAATAATAAGTAGATGATTCCCAGAATTCATATTCGGTTTGTCCTTCCCTCTTTTGATACAGTTCCTTTGCAATCCAAATGTGAAGGAGGAAAGTATCGTTTATTACATAGAAGAGAGTATTTGTAGCTATCTGATGGCAATACACACACCCCGTCTATGCGATGATCCAGCATTTCGTGTCAAAACGACGTCTGCAGTTCATCCAATTAATTGTAATCCTATTGTGTCTGACGCTAAATACGAGAAAATGTCTAAGGAAAGAAGCTTAGATGGACCTTCTGAAAGAACTGCTGGAACAGATTCTAACGATAAACCAGCCATTGCGACAGATGGTAGTGTCAAGGAAGAAGCAGCATCAAATGAGAATGCTCAGTCTGTACCGGATGACGATGCTCGGTTGAAGATAGCTCGTGAGATAATTCAAGATGAAGAAACACTTAAACTAATTTTGATGAACGAAGAAATAAATGATAAGCAGCTTGACGTTGCTGATATACTGAAGACCGTTATCCAGTCATTATTTACAGAGGACAACCAGAAACATCATTCAACAGCTGATCTTACACATCAGGCAAAGTTAAGTGAAGACTACGAGGTAGTATATGAATTGTTCGATGAGAAAAATAATGAGAAAGGCAACAATTAATGATATCATGCCAACATTGGAAATAAAAATATATATCATAATCGCCATTACTGTAACTTGTTAACCATCGATTACTCTGTTTAATGAACATCTATATAGATAAATAGCAAATTGAACCTCGTAGATTATCAGTCATATGTTTCGACTTTACTACATTATAAGCTTGACGGCGACATTCCACAGCTAAGCGCCATCACTCCTCTTTCTTCGGAGACAGCTTATCGGTGTGCCAATATATAATCATTTGAATTGCCAAAATAACATTCAACGCCGTAGACAGCGAAAATCCTGTCAAGATAATCAGGTCATCCACTTCGGTAACAGTAGTAAATATTCTCGCCAAAGATCCCGCTGTATATCCAAATACAGCAAGTGCAGATAACTGTCCAGTACTCCCATTAACGTAATTTGTGTAGATTTGAGGAATTTTTGATACAAGCCCTATTGGAATAGCCGCTACTTGTAACCATGCTATCATTGTGTCATTGACTATCGATGCGTTACTGAGGACATAACTTAAAGTGACAATAATCAGTCCAGCAGCAAACAGTAACCTTGGATTCTTGCGATAGTTTAATATCAGAAGTAAGATAATAATGTTCTGAATTGTCAGAAAGACACTTTCCCCAAAAGTGCTGAAGGGATTCTGTTGCCTGTAGTTGTATGCAACACTGATAGCGTATGCAGCCGTTTCTAGTACATAACTCTCGAAGCTCAAGCCCCGTGCTGATCCATTGGAAATTATCTTGCCAATTTGAGGGAACTTTATGAGCGAGCCACCCACAACAATCCCAAGGCCAAGCACTTTTGAGAGTACAAGTTTCATACAGTCGACGTCGCTAACATTAAACTGTTCGACCAGTGAAGTATAACATTTATCTCCTATCAGTTGGACGGCCGGCTCTTGGATAAAGCCGGGAAGTTGCATGATTGAAACGGTGACCCAGCTACGGACACAACGCGGCCATTTTGTTAAACAGTTCACGTGATTAGACACGACAACAAAAAGTCCATCTTTTGACACACTTTCTTCAAATCGGAACATGAACTCTATAACGCAAACACGTCTAAGAAAGGTTTATAAAAATGATTAATATTACCCTTTCATAATTAGGTCACATACACTAAAGTGTACATCCTTTTGTTATATCAGGATACGCTAGAGTATTTAGTTAGCATTTCGGGTAAAGAAGCGGTCTGGAAATCAGCACAAGCCATATTAAAGACCCGTCCTGATTTAATAGAGTTACATGAGTGTTTATGTACTTATTCCGACAATGACGCTAATACAAGAAAGACGCCTGCCACGCAGTTGCCAGTTACTCACCGATCTTTAATTGAGAACTGTCTTGAGGAAAAGCATTGTATGATGCTTACGCTAACACTCACTGTGTTTGTCAGTTAATACATGTTCGAAGCCTTTCATAATGAATTGGATATTCTGTAGACGTTGCAGCTATTGATCTTCTCGACGCGTTTCAGAGCAATCGATATTATCCATCCGAGTAACTATATTCGTTTAATCCTTTTTGAGTTTGCAAATCTTTATTAACGAAGTGCGTTAATGAATAGACAAGAAATGCGACAAATGATGGACGTAATGGTTAACGATCAGATCGAACAGGACATTGCATATCGGGCATTCGTCGTCTTACAACGTGTCCTACAAACTAGCGGAGCTCAAGCGTATCAGGCTGTATGGAAGCCCGAGCGGATTGATAAAGACGATGGGGTTCTTTGGGAAGGCTATACGGATTTTTGGAAATTTATTGAGAAAAGAATACGAGCGTCAAGTGAGGACAATTCTGTGCAAGTACGTGTACTTAGGCAACAGACTGGCTCCTTTTCGCTTTTAACTGAAAAATAAATTTAAGCCCGACTTGATTTGATATTAACGGATTAGAGGTTGACTTTTACAAATTAGGTTACTCGAGAACTGCTCCTACTCGAGCACATTGTCAATATTTTCGAATATGATATGAAGGACAAGAAAGGTTAATACTATTTATCCCGTTCAGAATGCTTTGACTGTTTATATAATTGATATTCTTTTCTTATTGTGCAGATGACTTGGAATCATCATTGATATTGCAATTATTCCCAGTAGAGATTGGGCGAGTACGAGTACGAACTAACATCAGCGGACCGATTCAGGCTTTATTTATTCCATTTACAGACAAAAATTGTATTAATGCCATGTATTTGGTTCAGCGGCTCTTCAAACTGGTATAATTATAATGTACATTGATGTAAACATTGTCCTGTTGATCCACTATCTTACTCATATATGCTTGCAAGATAATTCTTCTCTCATACGCTGGTTTGATATGTCCCGTGACATTAGCGCGCGACGTTTATCTGCATACGAAAAACTTGGGATCAGAGCCTTTTCGTACGTTCGTCCAGGTAACCAAGATTTGAATACTATGTCACGTAAATTTATTGTTTCTATCTGGATGCTCATTTAAACGTATATATAACAGACAATCCCACTAAGCACATTTAGAACACGATATTTGGATGTGGCTTTGCAAGACACCAATCTCGAAGACTTGCTTCAGGGGAGTAAATCGCAGCCCCTCGATTTAAACAAAATAGTCAAAGTATATTTTCGGACCAAACCTTTTAGTGGCTATATACCATCAAACGATGAATGGCGTCATACTTTTATGGTGGTGACCATACTCGACAGCTATCTTGATTGCAAGACGTTGCGTTTGCATGGTAAAGTATACAGCGGATTAGCTAAGGACGAAAGACGACTACTTTGCAATGATAGGCTACCGGCAGCCATGAGCGAATTAAGTCTGGGTTCTTGTCCGAGAGTAGAGTTTCTCATACGAATAGTTAACTCTAACATAAGCAGTCAGATAGCCCACATGGACTAAAAGAGATTTGAAACGTAAAAGACACTTGATTGTCGATCAGTGCCCCTGTATATCAAATAAGTTTCATTTTATCGTTATCATGGTTGCGTAACCAGACGAAAATAGTAGTTTCATTGAAGGGTATTAATAACTTGAAGGTTTATACTTTGCAGTCTCAAATTCGTTTTAGGAATAAAGGTCATTATTGGCCTATATTAAACAACGTTCCACTAGGTTTTCTTTTTTTTCTCCATTTAAGGTGACTTGTCCTGGTAAACAATAAGGTAACAAGCAGACCACACGCTACATAAATACAAAGAATAACATAATATGTGAAACAAGATTCCCACACAATACTTTTCATGCGTTTACTCTGATTGGGTATGAATCGACCCTTTGTCTACCCAATCCTCTATAAATCAGCCTGCACGCAATGATGCTAATTCTCACTCCATGCATTCATAAATAACCTCACCAGCATCAGTCTGAAAGAACCCATCCTCGCATCCTCTTTTCCATTTCTCCCGTTCTTTTGTCTCTTTTAAATTATTCTCTTTGATCACGCACCGTAATGTCAGTAAACAGTACGTGGCTTGCACTCAACACGCTGCGCGTGCTTTCCATTATTTCTATGATGCTGGTCATCGCTACCTGCGTAATTGTAAACGTTAAAGGATTCCCCAGCCTGGGACAGAGTAATACCATATTTCAATTTCTTAACCGATGTGTATTTGCATTGGTGTCTATTATCTTGATATTTGCCGAATTCGGCTGGCCCAAGAGAATGTTTTACTGGTTTCCCATGTTGGATGAAACGCACAGTTGGTCCTTCTTCGGCTTTCTGCAAATCATGTAAGTATACAAACCACGGAGAGCGAATTGCGTAAACTTGTTGCGCCATTTTGTATTCAAATGCACCTTTCTGTTATATTCTGTCTAATAATTTCAATTCTCTCTAGCATTGGATCTCTTGTTCTTGGCTACGATAGCGGAATTAATAGTTTATCATTTCTCGGTCACAGCCTATTCATATTCGTGGTGGTCCCGGGCTGGCTCGTATTCATAATTGGCATAGTATACATGCTTCTTGGTAGCTTCGGCGGTGTTATGCTCAAGGAACAACGTAAAATAGTCAACAATAGCAACAGTGACGTGAAACAACGTCCTCCCTCTTATACAGTTTAAACTATTGGTTCAATTCAACTATATGGAAGACTACCCTAAAAACGAGGATATGAAATTAAAACGTTAAACCAGTTACATGTCAGAATAATTTTTAAAAGACAATTGATTGGGACAATTGATTTGTTTCCCATTCTTACATTCCCTTCAATTAAAATGTAATAGTATGGATTAGAGTAGATGTACTTTAACTCTTGTATCATATTCTCTTATCATTATAGAGTTTCAACTTTTCTGATGCATCAGTAAACGACAAAATAATAAAGGAGGAATACCCTATTTGGAGTCAAAAAAAAGATAAATTTTATTTGATTTGATGTACGATTAGGTTTTGTGTTCAACTACTTAATTCATAGGAAAAAACGCCGTCGGCTCGTCTCCAACTCGGGCTATAGTTTGGTTGTGAGAGAATTAGTTCATCTTGCAATCAATCAAGGCAAAATAATATATTAATGTTACCTTGGACAACCACTCGTAGTCGCCATCTTTATCCAAAAGGCCTTTTTGTAATGACTTGAGCTTCAATGTGAATCTTGGCCCGAGTTCTTGTAAATCTGCATGATCTTTACTTTTGAAGACATATCTAAATACAACGATACCAGGTGTCAATACGAGCAAAGAGATATATATTAATTGTATAGGTCAGAGCAAACAATATCTTGACCTACCGGTGACGTCGGAAGAAAATAAAATCGCGCTGATTATGGAAGGTCGCAACTTGTCTTCCTTTAAATTCTGGTACGTGTGGGAATAATGCTTGAAGCCAACGACCAATGGTATGACCAAGGCGCGTGTTGAAATTGTTAAGAATTAGCTCTGGCTTGTGACCTGTCGAACGTCCATTACCCTTCAATGGTATCGGCATAGTTGGTTAGACACATAGACGATAATGTGCAAGTAACCCTACTTTATTTGCTGGTCATTTACCTGGATCTCTTTAGTCAGCTTGACATTTGTCAATTTAAAATAGGCCGTCGGTCCTTCTGGTAAATGTATTAGAGTGACTGCATCTGCGAATGGCAAGAGATATTGTTAGTCATAGGATACCAAACTGGAACAAGATCAGAAAAAAAGACGCTTTATTTACTGGATACTTTTCGATCTTCGTTAATCACCATAACGTCGGTATATCCTCGGTTTGTACAAAACTCAATAATTTGCGTAATAGAGAATTTCTTTCCTCTTCTAACATACTGACTATTAGGGAAGACATCGACTAATTCGGTAGCCAATTCATATGATGCCTTAGAGGCAACTTTGCTGGTTGTTATTAGCAGCTTGGGAGAATGTCCTTCCCGGAAATAAGAAGCAAATTCGTCGGACGTTTCGTCTTCTATAACTTCCAAGTCATCAGGCGGCACGATTGTCTCATCAAACTCTCGGGTGCTTTCGAGGGTTTTGGGAACATTTTTCTCAAGACGAGCCTAAAGCAATAAAAACGTCTCAGCTATAAAGCTACCCATCTATATTCTATACAAATATGTATCGTATCACCTTTTTTGCCTCTGGATCTTCGGCTTCTTCCTTACGACGTTTTATTCGTTCTCGTAGTTTCCGACGGCTGTTTTCTTGTTTTTGTTTGGCATAGACTCCCTCACGTTTTATCTTATTTTTGATTTGTGACGGCTTTATTATAGGCATATTGTAATGATTTATGGTGTCGAAAAGGACGGCAATACAAAATTTTTCGTTCACGTGATTCTGCGTGAAGAATACAGCGTATTCGCGATAAGACATTAGCAAATGTCAGTAGAATGATTGAGACCGACCATTAGTTTCAATTATTTACAGCAATCAAATGACCTAATGTAAATAACTCCAACGATTCATTATATAACAAAGTTAAGGTAATAATTGTCACGGCTGATGCTGAAATCCGGCTGAAGCTGAAACCATGACCTTTCATTGGTTGATCAGATTTTATTCTCTAATACCATTGGTTATTTTCAGATTCAGCTGGATTTCAGCACCAGCTCTCACAATAATTATCGTTTTTAACAGAACGGTTGGAAAAACACTTCCAGTTTTTGATTAGACAACGTCAAGAGGAGAACAGCTATTTATTGGGCCTCCGTAATCACGTGCTCGTACACGCATTGCGCGATAAAGTATACAGGCCTCACAAAAACGATACCATTTGAGGTGGGTCTATATGCACCAATAAACTTCACGCTTCTGAAGGGTATCGGGCCTTTTGTAATTAATACATTTAGTATCAGTTTCTAATTGTTAACTGCCTTAGCGATTAGTGTTGTTAACCTCTACTTCCTGATTGTAGAGATCTTGCATTTTGTCTTGCTAGGGACGTATACATACTGGCCCCACCTCCTTTGTGGATATATTATTAATATTAAGAACTGTTGTTTAAGGAACGTTAATTCGATTCACCAATGAAAGGATCAGTGTTGCTTTGGTTTTTAATAGATCTATGGCTTAACCACAATATCTACGATGCGTTGAAACCACTCCTCTTATTGTGGAAATAGCTCTATGGCTCTTGCTAAGATAAGCTTAGCAAAATGAGATTAGTAACTACTTTCCAGTATATTCGACTTAACGCCCTACGATGCATTGAAACCACTTCACTTATTGTGGAACTCTTCGGTCGATGCTTGGAAAGGAATTGGCATGCTCTTGCTAAGATGAGATTGCAACTCCATGTCTCTTTTTTTTTAAAAAAAAATTATTGATTATTATTTTGGTATGAACATTTCGGGCGGAATCGAAACCCACTAATTGTACGAAATGGTCCGCCATAGAGTGTCTAAAATCTACCGAAAAAACCTGTATAATAATAATGCTGACATCCGAGAACATTATAGCTGAATTTAAACATCGACTACAATTAATAAAAACACATTCTATAATGATTTGGACAGTTCAAACCGCATGGATAAAAAAGTAAGCAATATTTGTTAATTTGCATTATTATTACGACTCCGTCCGATAATACCGTATTCTGGTCTCGGTTCAGTTTCCCATTTAGCCTACTTATAAAAACGAATTGGCTTACAGACGAAAATTTATTTGAAATAAAACTCGATCTATAGGTATCTGAAGTTGCGGTAAAAATGCTGGACTTGTTAATGTCACTATCTTGTCACAATCACTTTGTGGGATACTTATATTATATCTTATTCTTAAGCATAACTCTATGAATTCTGATAACAATCAAACTGCTTCTGAAAATATACAGATATCAAACAAACCTGAAACTCATGACCAAGACGAAAATAACTCACAAATTTGTGAATAAGGTAGTCACAATGTGAAGACTTTGTTTCTTCAACCTTAACATTTAAACAATATTTGAACTTTCCATTACTGTTGCAGATATCTGATTCGATACTTTCAAACTTAAATCTTGAGGAAATTTGAAGAGAAGTAACGAACGTCTGAAACGAGAACATTTGCAAGTGCAGTATGTTACTATTACTGTAATTTGTAACTGTGTGCTTTTTTTTTACTGATAATATTAGTCTCTGCTAAGTTTAAGACCAACAAATCATGGACAGTGGATCTTTCTAATTGGACAAAAGTTGACTGGCTATGGGGTAGGATTCTCAAAACATCTGATTATGCACAATTATTTAGCAAGTCAAAAAAAAATTAATGATAATGAAGATAAAATCGATAAGAAAGTGATAAATTTGCTTTATGTATTATGATGGATGTGGCTTAATAAGCCGTTTATTATATAGTTGTCAGTTTCTCTTCTTACAGCTTATTCATAAATTATTGTGATATTTTAATTTTATAGAAGTCATCTGAGGATGCACAGTTAACTAGCAGTATTATTGAATATTTGTTATTTGTACTATTTATTAATTCTGAAGACTAAATTCGGGAGCATCTTTGTTCTGCGAGTCAGGGTATCAAGTTTGATAAAAGCGCTTCCCTGAGACTCAGACACTAATTTACGCTGCCATCAACTACAGACAGAGCAAGGGTGAATCAGGGACTCCAGGCTTTGTCTGCGCCGCTCTGCGGTGAGCGAAAGCTTTGAGGCTCTGCCTCTCTGAGTCAGAAACGCTGGGTTTTTTATATTCTGAAGTCGGTGAGTCGGAGACTCGAATACCTTGGTACTCTTCTACCCGATCAATAAAGCCTTCTCCAAACAAGTAAGAGCTCTTGTTTCGTGAGTTGGCTTCCAACCTTAAACGCGTCAGCTCGGGTTTTACTCGAAATTAAGAGACAAATTTTCGGAATCTTTTTCTGATATGTCTTTTAATAATGGATTGAAGCGATTTTATCTCCCTTGATTTTATACTAATCTTTTCGATTTCCAATTTAGCCAATTCGTCTTTAAAATTTCCTTGACAAATCTTTAGAGCTGAAGCCAATTTCGCTTTCAACATTTTGATCCCAGATTGAAGCGATTTTATCTCTCTTAATTTCATAGTGATCTTGGCCTTGCATTGAGTCAGAGAAATACAACTTCCAATCTGTAATCGCTTAGCCTCCTTCGCAACCTCCAAGGCGTAAGTGTGTATCTTCTGAATTTCATGTTCCAATCGCTTTTTCTCCCGGTCCCAACATTTTCTTTCTCGATCAAAATTTTCGCCTTGCTTTAGGATACTATTCGTGCACTTACGCAACTTGGATGTTTGAAAACTGTGGTATATTTCTTCCTCAAGTTTTTGCACATTGTCCATAATATATAACGAGAAAGATTGTTACGAAATATTAGGTAAACACCGAAAATTATCGAACATTGTCACATTATTGAATATATAAATATCGCTATTTTTTGAAAATGCTTAAATATTTTACTTCCCTATTTCAATAATTGTTGGGGCTGAAGCTGAAGCTGAAACGCTCGACGTTGTACTCAGGGTAAATTTACTGAAAACCCGAAGCAATACTTACTGTTTTGTAATACAATCAAATATGACCATGTTATCTGCGAAGCAGAGCGCTCACTTGTGTTACCTGTTTACGACTATTATTAAACCCCTGTCAGACGCAGAAATTGCTAAATCTAATTTTGGTTTTGTGGCACAATATATATAATATGAGACCATTAGAACTTCGAGAACAAGTTTCCAAAGCTATCGAATTTGCCCCTGAAGAAATTCGTTTACCTTCCACTGAAGAATAATCAAAGGTCAGAAGATAGCAACTGAAATTGTAGTAAGTCAAAACAATATATTAGTTCGTCATGGATGTAATCCGAAGGGTAGAATTCATATAGCGTGGTTTTAAACGTGACATCTTCACAAGCTAAAAAGGTGCTTATACACATTCCAGAAGATATTTGTGAAAGAATCGTCTAGTGATGAAGAGGGCGTAATTAAAGTCCATGCGGTAAAAGCAAAGAAGCGGATTAGTATTTATACAAGTTAATGATGAAGCGTGCCCTATTTTGTGTCTACGTGCCAATGTCGGCGACGGGAATCATTCTTACCTCAATACACATGATCGGATCCTATTTTCCGTGTGACATGAGTATGAGCCAATACCCATAAGGTGCTAAGAAGTTATTAATATTCTCCCTTTAACAAAAATGTAAATCTTTTTGGTATAGCCTTTTGGATCAATTCTACCGGATTCTTTCCATAGATAGAAATGGTCGAGGTTCATTATTTTTGTTTTTAGAATATCTAGTGCAGTACCAAGAATATTTAGAGTTATACCAGTTTGTGCCATTCGGTTTGTAATAATTAATACAAAGGCCTTTTACATCTGCTGGTCGCATATATAATACATTATCATTATATCTATTAAATTTTGCATCGAGGGGAGATATTGCATTTTTGTAACCGCTCTTGCACCTTTCCGAGGGTAAAGAAGTCAGAACAATCAAATCCTTTGTCTTCACGAAGTTCTTGTAACTCTCTTTGTTTTTTATTCGATGCATAGGTGCGTATGTTGCCTCTATTGTCAAATCATCAGCACCCTATTTACGCAGTTCTTTTCGAAGTAACTTGAGACGTGAGGATTTAGCTATTTCCGCGGGCCGCTTTATATGCCAATTTGTATATTTCCTCTGGGTCAAGATCTTCATTTTCCTTAATATACTGAACAAGCTTTTTTAACGGATCTCTTCTTATAACCCGCCTAGGTTGTATTAATTTACGAAATTTGTAGCAATTATCGACATTGTTTTTTATGCAATGGTCCACTTCGTACCGCGGGATGGCTTTGCGGATTATAGCTATAGAAATATTCTTTCAATTAGAAAATAATTATTTGTTAATTTATTCTTGGCCGTATTATATGTTTTTGATATATGGCTATTATAAAGGGACAAAAAACCCGATCGACGTAGTATGTCTCGTGTGTTATACATTCCCTTGTTATTTACAATGCATGTGGAAAGTGTATTTTACCATAAATTATCGCTATCCGAAATTAATGCTTCTTTCACTGCGGAGCTCGGCAAAATCAATAATGAACTTAATGATAGACTTAACGAAGAAGTTAATGCGGGGTTCGGCAGAACCAATAATGTTAGTTATGATCTCGCGACATACACTACCCAGACAAAAGTCTTGCACATCGAAAATTTTAATTACACAAAATTATACATAATAATAATAATTACATTTTAAATTTTAACAGATAATACTTTAACCAATGAAGTAACTATATAAATCAGTATTTTGTTGGCCACCCATTGTTTGCAATAACAGCTTCTATTCTCCGTGGCATACTTTCTATCAAAGCCATTACTTGACTTTGTGACCATTCTTCTTGTAATGTTGTTTCTAATTCTGCAAGATTTGTTATTGTCTGTGGTTTGCTTCTTATTTTTCTTTCCAGCTCCGACCATAAATGCTCAATTGGATTCAAGTCAGGAGACTGACTTGGCCAATCTGGCAAGACTTTGATTTTGTTCATTAAAATCCATTTCTTAACATCTTCAACAGTATGGATTGGAGCATTATCATCTTGAAACCAATACCCTCTGCAATTAAATTCTCCCTTTATTAAAGGTAATAAATGCTTTATAAGTATTTGTATGTAGTTAAATCTATTCTTACTAATGGCCAGATCAATAAAGGTTAGGAGTGATTACGGATTATTTATATATTCTGATGTGTGTTTACAAACAACACGAAATTATACACGCGTTGGTTCAAAACCAAAACAACGTTATATTAAAATTTGAAATATCATTATTATGTATATAATTTTGTGTAATTAAATTTTTTCGATGTGTAAGACTTTTGTCCGGGTAGTGTAGATTTTCGTGTTTATTTAAGCAACGCGTCTAGAAACGATTTTGTAGATTTATTGGTCGATCGTCTTAGAGAATGTGGTTATGACATTAACATTGCTGAAGATTGCCCTTCCATTGATTCAACGGTCACAGAAAACAATGAAGGTAAGAAATTGCTGACAAATGTACGCGCAATTAAAAAGGATATTGGATATAAAAAAATGCTCATGAATTGCTAACGCGCAGGTTTTGGATGATATGGAAGCTTTAGGGATTCGAGAATTTTTAGAAAGAGAAGAGGATATAGATCCAGCCTATAGATTTGCTTTGCAGAAATATAATCTGGCAGAAGATACGACTGTAGATTTTGTAAAGACATATCCTAAAAAGGAAATGAGAAGCGCGCACAGCGCTGATAACTTGTGTAATAAACATAGACTCATAATTGAGAATTATTCGCAGGAAAAAGCTTTTGTGATTCATTATTGCCAAAAGTTATTGCGTTGGAGGAGATTTTGCGAGGCATAGGTTTTTCTTCGGGCGTTCACACATCTTCTACGGTATGTCGTAAAGCTAGCTTATCAAGCTTACCAATTTGTAAGAAAAATAAACGTCGTTATTTGGTAAAAGATGGAGACAACATGCTAATTATGATCTAGGTTACTTCACAAAATTTCTGGAAAGACCACTAAAGGAATTCAAGGTATCACTTGATAGAGAAAAAGACCGTAATAAACAACTTGCACAACTGAGACTTAAAATAGATGGGCATCTGAAAAACGTTCTTCCCAGTGCTTGTTCAAGTGATAATACAACCATAGATATGCCAAAATCGAATCTCAATAGAAGAAAATACCTGAGCTCTCAATTTCTTTATCTTTGGAATTTCTTATCAAATGCGAATCTGATATACAGTGTGTAACAAAAAAAATTGACCTCCAGTTTTTTATGATAACTCAACAAATATTTGCTGAAATTCTATGAATAATAGCTTGTTTGAAAGCCTAAAACCTAAGGTTTTTTATTGATATATATACTATAATACATTAATAATTAATTCTTTCACCATTTCCATCAGTAATCATCTGGCAACGATGATTCATTGATGAAACAAGATTAGACAACATAGAATTTGGAATTTTTTCCCATTCATCAACTAAATACTGATTTAACTCACTAATATTTGTTGGTATACGTTTTTCTACATTGTGTTTGACAATGCTCCATAGGTTTTCTATGGGGTTGAGGTCTAGGCTGTTGGCTGGCCAATCCAAAACGGGAAGGTCTCATCAAGAAATTTTTTGGCAATACAACTAGTATGTTTTGGATCATTGTCTTGTTGGAATTTCCATCATCTGCCAAGCATTCTCCTTATTTCTGAATAATGTTGATGTAATATCCCAACATAAAATTCTGCATTCATTTGTGAAGCTACGCGCTTTTAAATTTTATATGTGTAGAGGTCAATTATTTTTGTTACACACTGTAGATACCCTTATTCTTCTTTTACAGCAAAAACTCCAAACGTCGCGAGAAAATTTAGAACAATGGAGAGCCGAGATTGCTTTTGAATTCCGGATAATACAAATTACTGGAAAAAAAACGCGAGAGTATGAACTCTTAAAATATAAACGGGAATATGAAGCCCGCCTTTGTATTCTTACAACTCCATGCAAAACGAGTTAAATAAAATATATTCAATGAATGGAATTGAATACGAATATAAATAGCTTTTGTGAACGAAGATTGTGGTTTAATATTAACTAGTCATTTATCCAGATAATAGTTTTTGTTATCCCTTACAGTACATACACAAAAAGCTTCAAATCGAAAAATAATTTACTATTACGTATAATAATAATTCTTAGCATCCAGCTAAAACCGCTAAAAGCGTGCGGTCAATTTCTTTTTCCACATGATATCTAAAAAGCGGTTAAATCCGGCTAAAGCTGCGGCTCTGCGTCACATCCACATATAAGTTTATACTTATCCATTTTATCATTACTACAGTATCTCTATCAAATATTAACTATCCCCTTTTACAGCATAAAACGGAAAACTGATATATTATTCACAATTGCCGTTCTAATTTATTTAAAACGTAAATGAGCAGGTAGTGGGAAAAAGAATGGCAATATGTTCTTAATCGGTCTAAAATTATGAACAAGATAAATTATTTGGTAGTACTGCGAGGCTATTTAAACACATTTACTATATGTTTGTAGAAAAGATCAGTTTCCACCAGTCATTGGTATAATAATAATCATTCTCACAAAGCTTATAAAACTCTCACTGTCAACGATTGCAGTTTGTAGAGTAACTATGTCAGTCTGAAAATTTTTGGATATCTGCTTCGCAGAGCGCTCTGCGCCTCGTGAATATATCTTCAGCGAAGCCGCTCCCTTTGGGAGCGAGCATTATAATAAAGCCGATCTTGAGCTTGTTTCATAAATGTGCTACCTGGCCGATAAAGCCATTCAATTACTGCAATCTCCATTTTCGGTAAAATTCCCAACTGTATTAGAAGTGGCTGTCTCTTGCTATTTGCAAACTGTTTATTGTTAGATCTCGTCGTGCGATTTGGGTTCGATCCTGTTTGTCAAAAGATGAACAAAATTCTAAACTTGTCAATGCAAACACGAGCCTTAGTTGATAATTTTTTATGTAAATTAGATAAATTATAAATAAAAGGAAATAATTGCATTTAAGATGTAAATTAGAATTTTCCTGCTAAGGAAACCTCCATAAACACAAGGTTAACAAAAATGCGAAGACAAATATAAAGTATCCTATTGAGCCAATTTTTTGGTGTTGAATCCTAAAACTGTTAAGCATGTTAGCAAAGCTTTCTTTACTAATACTAACAGTAATTTAGGTAGTAAGGCGGCTATCGCTCAATGAACGTCTTATGCAAGTAACTCTTGATATAATAACTTTCCGATATAATAATAAGAGACGTTTTGTTGTTTGTTTGCTTTTTTTGTTTTCTGCAATAGAGCGTGGCGTTAACCCCTGAAATTCATGTGGCGTTATTCACTGAATGCTTAGATCACAGCACGTGTTGTGGTCCAAAGTTATAAATGAGCTCACTCATATCCGCAAACAGCAACAGCAATAACCATTTTCACTTGTCGCAAGCCATCTTGACTCTCGTCTTGAAATAACTGTCCCCACTAAGCCGGACATCTCTTTTATTCTTAAAGCGACCACAAATCTATGGCGGAATCAGGCAAAAGGAACACCGAAGTTTCGGTGCAGAATGCCTCTGCTGTCTGGCTTGTCCTATATTTCGTCCTCAATCTAGCCTTGACTCTATACAATAAAGCTGTGATGCAGCTTTTTGATTTTCCCTTCCCATGGACATTAACAGGCGTTCACGCATTATGTGGTGCGATCGGCTCATACCTATTTTATTGGCTTGGAGTATTTACTCCGATGCACTTAACAGAACGTGAAAGCATGCAAATGTTACTGTTCTCAGTATTATATACTATTAACATTGCCATTAGTAATGTCTCTTTGTAAGTACTCTTATATCAACATGTTCTTGACATAGCGCGCCTTCTGGCTCAATTATTTATTACTATGGTTCCGTACGAATGATCTTTTTTTTTCGGAATCAAAGAACACAAGACATTAGTGAATTTTTGACAATTTTTTTTGAGCATATTTGATTAAGATATTATTTATCAAGGGCATTACACTAATTGATGCATCCGTCTACTTATATGTAAACCTAAATCATTTGAAGACATCTTGTCACTGTGCCGGTAAGGTTGATCCATTTAAGCTATTCACTTTCATTCGATAAGCGTCATTGACTCGGATCCGCGTTTATAGTTTCATCAGGTAGTCAGAGCAATGACACCACTCTTTACCATAATGTTATCGATTGTCTTTCTCAAAAGACATTTCTCAACTATGACATATATCTCTTTGTTGCCGGTAAGTTTTTATAGATCCAACGTATTTCGAAGAAGCCATTACATAAAGGTTTCGCTTAGATCTGATTGAATCAAATGTTGCGCAAAGGTTATCTTCGGTGTTGTATTTGCTACAGTCGGCGATTATTACTTTACGAAAATGGGTAAGAAACTTTCTGGAAGAGAAGGGGACCCCAAGTGCTGACTATGGAAATTGGATAACAAATTCTTATTATACTCTAATCTGTAGGCTTTTTCCTTACCGTACTCGGCACTTTGTTGGCTGCTTTGAAAACTGTTGTCACCAACCGCGTCTTAGTTGGTCGTCTAAAACTGCATCCCTTTGATCTGTTATTGCGAATGTCACCATTGGCCTTCGTTCAGACTGTTATCTATGCTTATGTGACTGGAGAGTTGAACAGAGTTAGAACGTTCAGTAAAAATTCAATGACTACATCACTTGTCATTGCTCTAATGACAAACGGCGTCATCGCTTTTTTCTTGAATTACGTTAGTTTCACAGCAAATAAGAAGACATCTCCATTGACTATGACAGTCGCAGGGAATGTCAAGCAGGTACTTTCAATAATTCTAGCAGTAGTGATATTCAACCTCACGATAACGCCAACAAATGGTTTGGGTATTTTCCTCACTTTGCTTGGAGGTAAGTGTTGCAAATTAGAATATATGATATTTGGCAGACTATATCTGATAACTAACCTTTATACTACTACTTGCATTTGTTTTTTAAATGAAGGCGCCTGGTATGCGTAAGTATTAGAACTTTTAAATTTGCTGTTCTATTTATTATAAAGTATCACTCATTCATAGCATCTATTGTGTAATTATTCATAACGGACAACAGTCGAATTGAATTTAGAGAACGCTCAGTGCAGCCACCTGTGAATAATCTCCCTAGTCATTCTACCCCAATTAGAAACTAAAACAACATAGAGATGATGAGGATAACGTTGTTTGCTTCGGGATTGATGGTGATGTAAAGCCATTCGACCGAAGACAAGATAACCCGCATCGCTTAATTACTTTTTACTAATCCAAGGCGCATGTTTGTGCCAATCGCTCCTTTGATCCGAATTATCTGATATTCATTAATGCCGCCATTGCGTTTTACTCTGTTAGATTCTGTTGGTTGGTTTCGTTCTTGTGGGTCATCCACTGTGCTGGGTGAACATTCTTATTAGACAGAAAGGGCTAAAGAGGTTAAGGTTATACACTAGATGTTATTATTCTTCATTTACACTTGTTTGAGACGAGTATTCATGTGTAACAATGAACTGTATAAAACAGTAGAGAAAAAAAAATTCATAAATAGTACAAGGATCTTTTATTATCTCTCTTGAGGTATAAATGCCTTTCTATGGCTTTGCACATACGAACATTTGATCTCTTAGCGACGATATAAGATTACGGTTCCTGAATAACCATTTTCCATAGATTATAACGCAACCGTCACACACGGTTTGATATCACTACCCTATTGGTTGAAGATTAACTAAATATTTACAGATGTCAAGCGCTACCAAATCATCGGGTTGTGAGCTATTTTTACGTATCTGATTGTGAGCTATTTTTATGTATCTGATAATTAATAATTTTCATTGTAGTAACACTAATACATATATACCATTATAACTGTGCTATGCTTTCGCTATTGTCACATTATCTCAGATCTCTTTATTTATTTACAAAATATTACCCTTTTGTTGACCGTTTTCTCAATACACAATATTATCCAAGAACCGAGGTGGAATGACAGGTTGCTCAATCATCCTTGAAGTTCATGAATTACCAAGTCCCAGTAGAAATGTCAATTACATTGTACTCTTGCCAGCTGAAACGAGTTACAATCGGTAACTTGCAAGTCTTGAAGAAGACAGCATGCTAACGTCACTAAAATACGATGCATTCGTAAATTATGGTACCAAATAACGCCTTATATTCAATCGCGAGATTTATGTGATACTTGTCAACAGTTTCGAAGTCTCGCAGGAAGAAGCAAAAGATCTACTACAAAAGCATCTGATGAAAGCAAGAAAGAAACTATTATAACAAAAATACGAAACTAACAGAAGAACAAAGATAATTGGTAGATGCGCACCTCATGATTCATGTTCTAAAGCGAGAAAAACAATTCAAATCAGAAAAAGTATACTTATTGCTTGATAACGTGTTCAACATTACAAGGAATGTTTCATTCTTAGTTAACTATAACTGATTAAAATAGCTGAAACATTATAACATATGCATTATTATCAAGCAAACTATAAGACTCTGTTACAAGTTGGATTTTTATAACAACACTTGTTGTTTTTTAGTAACAAATAGCAGATTCAGTAGTTATCGTGCGCAGGATTATAATTCTTTTTGTGGATAAATTGGAACAGAACTAAGCAGAGTTTTGCAAACCCTTTTGGGTTAGTAAGTTTAAAAAATTTGTTTCAGATAAAACATAAACAGTGCTGTTAGTACATGGCCTTCCCAAAGCATCCCAAATTAAGAATAAACTACAGTGAACTGTCTCTAAATGCACGGGAGCAGAACGCCAACCGTTTTGTTTCACCTCTTAGCATAATATACATAACCTTACTTATCCAAGATCGTATTCTAACCTGAAACATATACTCTCTAATATCCACCCCACGGGACCGGCCAATTTTGTTGATATATGCGGGGTTGGATATCATAGGGGTTTTTGTTAGGGTTTTAAATAATGACGTCATATGTAATGATATTATTATGTCTCCAATTAAATTTAAACTTTATTTATAATAAAAATCTCTTTATTTCTTTCTCCATTAAACTAAATCTGTTAACTTTTTTTGTTGTCTCGCCTCGTATATATTCGATTGAATGCGTCGCAACAGACTTTGCAATCTTGGCATGTCTTGCTCTTCTACGAATTT